ATAAAGAAGATAAAAGACAATGGTGGACAAGAGAAGGAAAAAATGCGTGAATCACACAAACACACACACACACACGCACGCACGCACGCACGCACACACACACACACACACACGCAAAATGCTTCTGGAGATGAAAGAGAAAAGGGGGAAATTACTCACAAAATCACGTTGTGTTGCTTCTTAGGTACAAGAAGTTGACATACAAAATGTTTCTGTGTTTAGTGCCACTATGGCAGCTTCACCTTCCAGCATACTGCCACACCGGAAGCCACAAAACATACAAAGTACGGGCTAAGAGGAGCTAAATACAAATGAACACTGCCCCCGTTTTAGATTTATTTTTCTTTTCCGTTTGGTGGAACCACAGCAAAATTGTCCTTCTACATTTTGCTGTGGTTTATTACGGTAAAATAGTTTCCATTTATGACTTGTGAAAAGTTCAATGTGTACGACTACTTTCCCAGGCCTCTCTCTAATAGAGCCATACAGTATAGAACCAGATACATGTGCTGTGGAGCTGCAGATGTGCAACCCCATTGCACATTTGTAAAATAATGTCTCTTCTTATAAAATTATACTACATTATACCTCTTGTGCAGTTCAGTCCCAAACTACAAGAGATAAAGGGTTTTATAGCTCATTTAAGAATTCCTATAACTTTCTTTTTCACTTTTAAGATGGACTGCTGAACTCGGAGCCCAGCCCTTCTCCGTGGCTACATCCCCTGCCAAAACTGTAACTAACAAAGCTTAACGGCTCACCCCGTTTAACCCCCAGCATAGCCCTCCATCATCCAGCCCCCTTCCCTCCACTGTTTCCTGCTTTTCCATGGCAGAGCCTGTGGAGCCCTCCATCCCTGTGGGGCTGTTAGCAGACACACACGCTGCTGTTTCTCCATAGGGTGGACCATCTCAAACAGCTTTCACACACTGCTTCAATGACTCTGGATGTCTGTGTTTGTTTTTGGTTACACGTTATGCTTCCTCCATCAATTCCCTCTTTGTGTTGCTGTGTTTTTGTTGTGTTTTCTTTTCGAAAGCGTGCTATTCAGCTCTTGCGGACGCTAAATGAGAAAGACTGGTGTGAATATTGATTGTTAAAAGGAGCTACAGGAATCTGCCACCCACAAAAGCTTTTAAGTAGAGATTTAATACCAATTTGTGATTGAATTTCCGCAACATAATGATACTAAAATGACCAGGAATATTTTTTTAGATCTATTTTTCTTGCCGGTAGGTTAGAAACTATGAACTTTCTTTTTAATTTTTACATAATTCCACCAATATCAACAGTGTAGACAACCCTAAAATACTACATTATACCCTAAGATGTAGGACTTTGCCAGTGTTTGTGAATCTGAATGGGTGAGTTAAGTGTAAAAATGCCCAAAAAGCACTTTAAAAGGGCAATATTGTGTGTTTTCCAGGTACATATTGCCGTTTTATAGCATAATCAAGTAAGTAACTGTTTTTACTTTCAGTTGTCTTAGAAATGCTATATCAACTATGCCTTAAAAGAAATTTTACTTCAAAATTTAAAACCTTGAAATTGGGCCTCTGTCTGAAACTCCGCCTTCATGATGTCATCACAACATGGCTCCCCTATTAACCCTTTGTCACCGAAAAGTGGCTGACATAATGAACTCAGCAGATGTGCAGTTCCATCAGGTGTTTGCTAATTGCTGCTGGCTAGTCAGAAGGAGCTGAGAGGACTGCTCTGTGAGGCAAAAGCTCGAAAGCTGGGAAACTGCAGCTCAGAGGAGGAGCTTCGTCTCGAAGGAGTTGCTATGTCCATCCAGGTGTTTTGACCAGCTGAATGGTTGCTACACAGGATATTGAAAGATTTCTCAAGTGGGCATGAAAGAATCAAGGCAACACTCCAGGTATGTGTCTGATGAGGAAGGCTCAATAGTTAAACAGTCAATTTGACATGGTACCACCCCTTTAAAGGTTAAATCCATTTACATTTCAGTCTATCAACACTTGACAACATTTATGTCCTAATAAATAACTGGGAGTCACATCACTAACTTTTGTGGCCTGTAATATTTAACATGAATGAAAACACTTTCCATATATCAGATAGGTTTATAAGGTAATAATTTTGATTTCTGTATAGGTTGATATCCAAATGCCCTCATATCTCAGCCGTCTATGTGGTCTTGCCAAGAAGAATAGCCAAGCTTACCTCGTCCATTGTGGAACAGTTGAGGCATTCAACATGCATGTGTGTGTTTGAACATTTTCATGATTAGTGTTCCCTTGATTAGTGGCTGGCAGATCGGGAGGATTTGTCCAACAGGACTGTGTGTCAGGCAAGCTCAGCGTCCGCGCTGGAGAACATGAATGAAAGAGTGGATAATTGATAGTGACAAGGCGCTCACCAGTCTTAATTGCGGCTGGTGAATTAGATTACCTTTTCAAAGTGCCTTCATTAGCAAACGGAGAACCACACCAATGGTCTCCTGATTGGCCTCATATTGTTTTGTTGCCAACCTGCTCTGATGGGGTGCAAAAATATATGGATTTACTAAATGTGTGCGCATGCATTTGTTTAACTTCTGTTTTAAATATCTCACCAATCTTTATATCTGCATTTTCTGAAAGTATGTACAGTATGTGCATTCGTTGTTTTATTTGTTTGTTTTACTTGTGCAGCGGCTGCCTTTCCATTGGTGTAGCTACAATGTTCCTGGATGAAACTTATTCCATCAAAAACCTTATATCATCTTGGATTCAAAAGCCCAAACAATTTTTGTTGTCAAAACTGAAAACCTGCTAAACAAATGACAAAATTCACTTTTGTATAATGAGAGCATATTTGTCTGGTTCCATACGTACCGCAACTAGCAGTAAACAAACTAAGCAATCACATTCAAACTAACAAATCTACCCTGGAAGGTATCTGACTCAAACCTTTCAGGCAAAAGTTTGAGTCAGATACCTCGATTCTGTTCCGTGACTCGAGCTGATTGAGGCTATTGCTCGCTAGCTGCCGATACACCCTGGCTAGCTAGCTGCCTTGCTTCTATCACAAGTATTGATCGCCACTTGGCTGCATGATTTTCGTTTTTCCCACTGACTCTTTTCTTTTGCCAACCCATACAGTTCAAGGCACATTGTGTGCAAAGAGTTTTGTATACAGTGTGAGAAGCACACAGTTCCTGCCAAGAGCCAAGAGCTTGACTGTCATACAGTAGGACGTCCCATCCGTCTCCCGTATTTATGGGGGTTTTTTTTAGTCTTAAAATTCACTAGGGTTGGCATAAAATTCATGTATCACAAACTCAGGCCTTAAAATGTCTTAGATTAAAAAATATGAAGACTGGCCTTAAATATGTTAATCACGTGTCTTAAAGTTTGTCGTGGAAGGACTGTTTAATCTCATGTATGTCAGTGTTTTTTTTTTGTTTTTTTTTGGGACTTTTCTATTGAAGTTTTTGCTGGACGTGAGTGTCTACTTACGGAATGAGTTTCGTCTTATACCTAAAACTCCCAAATCCTTCATCCCCCGGCAGCTGCAGTATCAGCTATAACCATCCTTCCAGATCCTGTTTCCATATCTGTCTTCAGACACTGCTCCAGCATAAGCCCCCCCTTCCAACCACAGGAGAAAAAAAACACACACACACACACACTCACACCGGCACACACGTAGGCATCCCCATATCTGTCTCATGCTTCATTCCCACCCCAGCCAGCCTGCAGCCCCCCTGCCGAGTTAAATGGAGTGTGCTGGCATCATGGGAGTCGTGTGTGCTCAGTTCAGCTCTACTCAGCTGGGCTGCCAGTGTTATAAACTTGCTGTGTGATTATTGTCAGAGCCAGACTCCTCCACCCAGGACGTCTGTGCTGATGGGTACTGTGTCACCGGGAACAGCCATCCATAGAGAGAGGAATGAGAAGGCAAAGGAGGGATTGAGTCTGAGGTGAGAGAGAGAAAAAAAAAGGCGTAGAGAAATTATTGTTGGGAGGAAAGTAGCAGGGTTTGAAGGAGAGAGGACAGGGGAGGGGAAAAAAAAGAAAAGATGGAGTAAGAAAACCGGGCATCAAAGGGGAAGAAAAAGCCAAGCTGAGCAAGAAAAGACGGATGTACATCTGGGGCAGCAGACAAAGACAAGAGAAGACACAGAGGGAGTGATATAAAGACTGAGAGACAGAAGAATAATGTGCTGCAAGAAGACAGAAAGGCAGCAGGGAAATCAGTACTGCAGAGAAGAAGGAGAGCCAGGGAGGGTGAATAGAAAGAAAGCCAAGGAAAGAAATTAGATAGAAATTTTTCAAGCGAGTGATGTGTGCTGTGATTGTTTCTCTCTCTCTCTCTCTCTCTCTCTGTCTCTCTTTCCTCTTTTTTCTCTGGCTCGTTCTAAACGGTCGGGATGTGGCCTGTATCTGCCGGCAAGAGGGAACTCAATTTGGGACAATTTACTCGGCAGTCTCAGCCCTGATGCACCTCGGGGACAGAGAATCGAGAGAATGAAAGCGAGGGAAGATAGAATCAGCAGGCCACACGCGTGCGCGCGCACGCGCCCGCCGGCACACAATTGCTGCCGAGTAGATTTCACTTAGTTAGCTCTAACTCTCCCAGGCGGTCAATGCGATTGAGTTTATAAGGCTTGGAAATGAAAAGCCTGGGATAAGGTTAGATAAACTCTGCGCTATTTGATTTCGGCCCACCACTCTCTCTGGAACAAAAAAAAACACAAAACACACACAGGACAGGAGGCCGCGGATGGAGGTGGGTGGGGATACACAGCGCAGTCAGGTCACGCGTGGGGTCACGAGGGCGAGGAAGGCTGAATGCGACAAGTATAAAATCATTATTTTACAAAAAAAAAGAAAAAAAATTCTTACACCTTTTCCAACAAGCGTATATTATTACCAGCAAATTCTGACTGAAGAAGTAAGGGGCGCAGTAAATGTTGCTCCAAGCTATGTCCCATGTAGTAGTTTAGCGAGGAGTTTTAGCTTAACAGCGTGTTTTTGTTTCCTGCCCGGCAGATTGGCAGCCTGGACGGCCTGTACACGCTGAGGGACAGCAGGGGGCGCTCTGATAGAGTCACCTTTGAGGGGAGGCTTCTGTCTGCAGCAGGGGTAAGTGTTTGTGTCTCACCTGGAGTAGGGGGTAGATACTCACTGTACTGCATGGCAACATAATCCCTTCAACACGAAGAATTAGACAGATGTGCAGAGATAAGCATTGTTCTTGTTTTCGTCACCCGGGGTGAGAACCTCCTCCTATGGTCTGAATATGTGAGAAAACAGAAGGGTTTTAATCCGAAGTGCGTTTTAATAAATATGTAAGCAATGCAAAAAAAAAAGAAAAAAAATTCCAGGTTTGATTCAATGTATTTTTGCCTTAATATTAAAAAAAAGCACCAGAAGTTCATGTTTGTCCATGATTCTACAGCGGATGGTCCGTTCACGGTCACAGGGGGGCGGGCATCTATCTCCAGTGATTATTGGGTGAGTGGCGCTCCAGAGAGGTCATCAGTACATGACAGGGCCACACAGAAGACAGCCAGGCATGCAAATATCACACCCAGTGGGAGATTTAACCCAACAGTTGTGTTTTTGGACTATGTCAGGAAGCCGGAGTGCCTGGAGAAAACCAACGCACACACATGGAAAACATGCAAACTTCATGCAGAAAGTCTAGGTCTGCACACATCCAGTTTTTGCTTTTCCGATACCAGTACAAACTGTCTGAAGTTCAGTGTCGGCTGGTGCCGATCCAACGCAGAAAAACAGTGCTGAATTGACTTGAAATGGTTTCGTTTTTAAAATGCAGACATAAATGGACTGAATTAGAAATTATTTGATAACTCTGCAGCAGTAGAAAATATACACCAAAAGCTTCACAAGTTTGGTCAGACATGTAAAAAAAAACAAAAAACAAGTTTAGTTTGTTCAATCGGTGCAGCTAAGAGTTAAATAACCAGCGTATAATAAACAATAAAGAAACCGAAACTGACAAAAACCATAGATTGATTACCTTGGTCAAAGAAGTAAAAAATAAACTGCAACAAACATTTAAAATTCAGATTCAGAAAGTGCAATTAGGAATTCTAAATATAATGTAAAATAAATAATAAAGCATGTCTTCACTCAGAGCACAAAGCATAGAATTAGATTAAACACACATAGTTATCTGACATCTGATCTAGAATTTTCTTCAACAGCGGGACCAATACAGATATTAATATCAGATCTATCCCGATATTGAGAGAAAGATCGCAGGCTAGCTTTTGTCCACTGAAAACAGAAAAGGGCTTCAACTTAAAAATTGGTACAAATTGGTCACAGATAAGTGAATTAAGTTTGTCTAATCTACTTTATTTTTAACCTGACAACTTACTAGGGTTCATTTGATTACTTGTGATTGATTAATGCAACATATTTTAAATTGGATCACCTGTTCTCTGTTTCCAGTGCACCCAGGATCTTCTTGCTGTACAGTAACGGTGGTGCCGAAAACAACCCACCTTTATTTGTTTATTACATATATGTTTGCGACAATATTTATGTTTTCAGAAATATTAATATAACAAGAGCAGCTCGGTTGCAATCCAGATTACTTCAGGAACAGTGAAACCACACTTTTCATTTTGAACCGAATAGGAATCTCAAATCATTTACCAGCAACAATGTAGGATTATATTTTCTTAGACCAAACACTCTCTAAGAGTAATTAATAACAATAAGAAAAACCCCATTTATCTCAGCTTCCAGTTCCTCCTGCCACCCTTTGACACAAAGGCGCCCTGGGTGGTAAACACAATCGTCTATCATAAGCAGCCGCTAGCAGACTGCTAGTAGCCTGTCCTGGCTGTGTCAAAGAGATTCACACACTGGCATCAGTTCTGATTTCACCCAGCATGTGTATGCAAATGAAACTTCATCTGGCTGTCACTAGTCTTCTAATCGGGGTCTAGTGTTGATTAGAAGGAGAACATTAAACATTATATGGTGAGTGGAGCAAAAAAGCAGGTTCATTTTGTATTTTTTTTTTTTTTCCTTTTTGCACCACCCACTATCACTTAGCTTACCCCACCTTCAGCAGAGCGTTCTGCATCACCGACTGAACGCACAATGCAGCCTCCTGACCGGGCTGTAGTTGCCAGGGAAACCGTCACCCTCGGAGATATCCCATGACAGCACGGGGCGAAGGAGGCAGCATGAGAGGAAGGGTCGGAGATGTGGCTCTGGCCACGCACGTTCTCCAGGGTGCACCAGACCTTTGGACTCTTCCCCAACGCGTTCCCCTTCAGTCACACAACACACAGAGCGCAAATCAGCTTTACACACACACACACATACACACATGTGGGCATACTTACACACACACACATACACGGAGAGGCATGCAAATACAAGCAGCAAAAAGAGCAGAAAATAAAGAGAGGAATATTCCTAACTCTGATTTAGAGTTATCATCTGGATCAGTGTGCATGTGATTAATTGAAGTAATTTATGCATAATCTCCAGTGACTCTATGTATGGTTCATGATTTCATTAAACTGTTACTTTAATTACTTTTCTACTTTCATAACTTAGGTTAAAATGAAAATGTTCCACATTTTCTAATGAGTTGTAAATTAATAGATTGCACAAATACGGCTGTGGATGCAAATACGTTTAGCTTTTCCTGCCTGCTGTTTTTAAGCTTTTATATCTTTCTAAACAAAATTTCACCGCGATTCAGGCCAAATAGTTTTATATTTGGAGCTACTACGCATTATTTTTTTTGTGATCCTTAAGTTTGAGTAGGTGTGAATATGTGCTTTATAAATGTAGATTTTATTATCCTGTTTAGTTTTTAAGAAAGCTAAATTTTACAATGAAGTTTGTTAAAAAAAAAAAATCCACTTTTTGGAGTGGAATGAGTTTTACTTCTTCACATTTTTGGGGAAAGATCCCCTCTAAAGTAAAGAGTAGATTATCTGCAGACTAATAAAAATGATTAAGTCAAAATTTTTCTTGAACCTATAGCTTAAGTTTTCTGCGGACCTGCTAATGAAACAAAGACACTAAAGTTAGTCTCCGTTAGCTTGTTCAAGTAAAATGTTTGTTTATTTAAACTTTTGGTTGAATTTATGAAGAACCTCGGCATTCTGCGACCTCAGATTAAAAACTAACTTGACATAGTTGACATTACTATTGGAGAATTTTCGCAACAATGTCACACTATCTATTTTTTTCAATTTATGACATAAAGTTATCTGTTACCAACACACTAAGACATTTGGATGATCACAAATATCTCATCTATACCATTTTATTTAGCTATATACATGAACCAGATCAACAACATAAATTCAACACCTAAAGTATTTAGTGACAAATTGCCTTAGAAAATTATAATTTTTTTCTGTAACCTCTCAACTGATTTGGACCAAGTTTACAAAAACAAATTTCTTTTTCAGATATTTATAACATAGCAGGAGACATCTATAACACAATTTTTAATTTTTAGTCCTAATTATTTCACACAACTACATCATGTACCATTTCTCCCTTCATTAGGATTTCCTTTTCTCTGTCTTACTGACTTCGATGGTTGCCTCCATTCAGTTACTCTGATCTGATCCGTCCATGCAGTTTCGGTCTAAAAATGCCCAAGCATGTCTCTGACTGAACTCCGCACTGACCTTTTCCAAAATGTCTCCGTTGGAAGCCCCCCGCCAGCCTCCAACATGTGCAAACTGGCCCCTGCTGGTGTGTTACACACTTATTACGCACATACAGTAAATCTTCTGCTGCAACATGTATCAGGCTTGAGATTGTTTTTTCTTTTCTCTTATTTTTTTTCTTATTCTGCTTAGTGAATAAAGTTTATTATTTATGAATTGCAACAGCCAACCGCAACAAGAATGGCAGAACAGACAATGGTTAAGTTAGAATTACTTGGAAGTTTTTCCTCTTTCAAAAGCTTATTGACATGCAGAATTTGGATTATCCTTAAAATTACTGATCTTGTTTTTATTTGTTATCCTTTTTGCCTCCAAAACACAAAACAAGCGAGAAAAAAAAAACACACCTATAATTTAAAACAGGCACTACTGCATGTTTTGAATTAGCTACATTTATTTAATATGTTTAGTTGAAGCATCCACAAATTTTTTTTTTCAAACATACACTAACAGATGTGTGATAAAAATATGTTCACTTAGTTGGCACTTTCCTGGTTTCTTGGGGTTTTCTTGGGGTTTTCATACCTGTTTACTTAGGTCCAGATCAGTTGTTGATTTTGCTAACAAGCTTTTCAGGCAGTTCTTTCACTCAATAAAAATTTTTATGCACATCACAAAAAAACCACAAGAGCAGGCAGTTTATTACCACATAGGTCTAGAGTGCTAAATGTAAATATAGGAAGCGGATGCTGTGTTCTAAACTAGGTGAAGAGTGAACTTAAAATGTAGCTTTTCATTCTCTCTAAACATAGAGGATTTCAGCATAACGATGTGTTTCAGGTAAAACATTATGCTTTAAAAAAAAGATGCACAACACGTGTTTCTTAGTGCGTTTGCAATGTCCCGCATTGCAGCGTATACCTGTCCTTCAGGAGGCATTTGGCGCAAGCTAGCACTAAACACCTAGCAGTTGTCGGCTCAAAGTCGAATCACCCTCACAGCACAAAGGAACCTCTCTAGAGTTTGTTCGGAATCGTACCGAGAACTCATTGTCCAAGCCGTCTTGGTGTGGTTGATTTAGCTGTGTTCACATCTACACAAATGAACGACTCCAAGGCGGGAAACGAATCCCGTTTTAAATCCTGTTTGTTTGAAAGCCCTTCGTTTCTTTATTCGTTTTTTTAACACAACCACAATCATGACCAGATGGTTCTGTAATGTTCCCCAATTTAAATCCACACATAGAACAAATTACAATCCGAAGCAGTGGCCAAGTGGATAAGTTTTACTTTAGCTTACTGTGTGAATTATCCCTCTGCAGAATCTTAATATGATATTATCTTTGTTGGGTTATTGGAGATATTATGGGGGTATTACATTTCGAGGTGCCTCGAAGACTGTGTTAACCTTTAGGTGAAAACATGCGAGCCGTACTATTGATCCAAAGTGTGAGGATTTAATTATCAGACGAAGACGTGTTACATTTGGCTGGGCTTTTTTGATTGTTCTGTAGGAAATAAGGGCTTTTTTTTTATTTTCTAGAAACAAATGTGAAAAGATTGGTTAAAAAGGAAATTGAAAAATCCCAAATTGCATGTAGAAATGTAGACGGTCTGCTTTAAAGTGTTCTTTATTGTTTCAAAAGGAGAGTTGAAATCTAACATTGACAATTTTCTGATTATTGTGATTTTTTGATTTCTTCTGTCACATGTCTTCTTGAAGACAGAACAGTGTTATTTTTCCTGACTTCAAAATAATTTCAATAATTTATCGTTGCTCAACGTCTCGGCTCTGTGGATGGGATTCGTTTCTTGCAGGCAGCGAGGTAGAAAACATTGTTCAGCTGGTTTTCTTTTGCTTGGTTTTCTTTCTCCCCTTCACCTACTTATCCATTTACACAGAATAAAAACATTTGAGTTTTCCCTCAGTGCCTCCTCGCTACTGAGTTGTGTGTCTCTGTATGTGCGTGAGGGCGTGTGTTTCCCTCGCTTACTTTTTTTTTATTTTTTATTTTTAGACTCCAGTCACATCCTCAATCCCGCGGCCCTATAAGGAGCTTTCACGCCTTTTGGTTTGCTTTAGATGTTTAATACCCCCTCTCTTTTGTGTCAGGGAGCCGGAGAGGCGTTAAGAAGCGCTGATAAACCCCACTTAGATCCCTTCCTGGCCCGTCACCCTGGCCTGCCGGGCCGCTTTAGCTGGGAACTGATCTGTGACGGCCTGCCACTCAAACTGAGCACTTCTGAAGGCTGACACAATGGAGTGAGCAACAACACCAGAGGGCCCAAGAGGGGCGTGAGGAGAGAGAGGAAGGGGAAGGAGGGAGAGACGGGCAAGGGGTGCCCTGAAAAAAGGCTCAAGGAGGGGCCAGAGTGTATCTGTCTGTTATCTGTTTCTTCTCTTTCACTCTTTTCAGCTCCACACCCTCCTCCCTTCCCTCTGTAGAGCTCACACTCTTATTTTTTACTGTCAGTAACACACACAAACTCTGTCCTCTGTCGTTTTTTTCCCTCTCTGTGGTCGAGGTTTTCAGTCCTGACGGGAGAGATGAGAGATTAAATAAAGAGGCTGGAGGGGAGGCGGATAACAATCGTTGCACCGGCAACGGTGGGTCATTTGCAGCATTCACCGCTGCCCAAGTCGGCCAGTCGGCTCTGAGTTCAGGTCGGGTCTCGAGGGAAATGCGGCGCGGAGATTGACGGGCTCGGGTGGGGTGGGGCTTGGCGAGCGAGGGTGGGAGACGCGTTCACCACCACCACAGATGCAATTGCCACGGCGTTCCCATGGGGCCGTGAAGCGGGTGGCAGAGCCCGAAATGTCAGCGCTGATGTCCGAGCAGCTCGGCTCGACTATCAGGCTGCTGCAGCTGCCTGCCATGCAGCACGTCCACTCATTCATAGTTAGACAACAGAAAAAACACACACACACACACAGACACACGCACATGCATACATTTTTACACTTTTCTTTCCCTGGTAGCATAGAATATGACATCAGCTGTACAGACATATTTGAGCTCAAATCTTCCTTTTCCTAAACATCGATCTGAAACTGATGTTTTATAAACCACTGGGAATGAGTCTCTGTTTTTCCTCTTTGCGTGTTCCCACATTCAACTTTGCAAAACCTGTATTTTAAAATGTGCATTAATCTTAAATTCATTTGCGTTTGATTAGTCGTACTTCCCCCTATAAAGGGCTTCAGCTTTGCCTTCCTCAGTATCCGAGGATGTAACGTACGTAATTAGATTTCCTGCTAAACCAAAATGTCACAGTTTTTTTTTTTTTTTTGCAAAACTTCCCCTGATTGAGAGTCACAACTCTGAAACCTTACAGTTTTATGCTGCTGCTGGATTGATGAGTGCTAAAAAATTTTTATGACAGTAAGTTGTAACTACTTAATACAGCAGCACTGTGCTACGTTATGCAGACGTTCTGTTTACAGTAAAATCTCACCTTTATTGATAGAACTGTATATTCGACAGTACTACGATCCAGATAAGCAGCTGATCAATGTCTGTCTCAACGTTCAGACCCACGTAAAACATGGCTTTACACCAAACTGCACCTTCAAGTTGCACTCAGTTTATTTAACAGCATAAATAAAAAGCAATTTTTGCTGCTCTTTTCATTGATGTGCCTTTTGTTTATTTTTCCCCCTTGCATCATGCCAACTCTGTGCTGGATCTATTCGGTGCATATTTGTGTGTCAGCACTGCGTGTGCGTGTGTGACAGTTGGATGATGAATGTCCTGATGGCACTGGGGTCAGTGTCACAGACAGTGTTGTCAATTGCACCTTCTCCCCCGAGTCTAACCTTGAGCAAAAGTCCCCGAGGAGAGCTCAATGTGCTGTTAAGGTCAATTCAGGCTCACACACGCACGTGCACACACAATCACGCATCCATTCCTTGCTGAGCATGTGCCATTAGTAGCTGGTGGTGCCTGGTTTGACAGAGAGCGATTAGCTCCCTATCATGTGTATTGATCCGCTTGTCCTGGCTGGTTCTCAAGAGGAGGGGCTGGAGGGCTTTAACAAGGCATTTGGGACAGACACTGATGCATGCAAACACACATACTCACCCTCTGACATGATTGTTTATCTATCAATATGTAAATCTGTTTAATGTATTTTTTATGTTCAAAGCTACCTGTCAGAATTTTCAGTCAAATAAACGAACTTTATTTTAGATATTCTTTCTCTGCCGTAGTACAAACAATATTTGTTTTGGTATTTTGTGTTGAATTATTGAATCAATATATAAGATAGGGAGCTTCTGTTCCTCTGGTGACATCACATAAGGCACAAGGCAGCTGATCAGATTTGTTTGGAGGATCTTCTTTTCTCATGACGTTATCCCTTTTGTGAAGTCCACCACTCTCTCTTGCAGAAAACCACACCCAAAACCCCCTTGTACTTCACAGTTCAGATGATGACCTTAAGCTAACAAGCTTTCCCTTTTTACTTTTAAAAGTGACATTGAAGCTGCAGTATATAACTTTTATACAGAATGTGTTTAGATATATTTTTTTAAACGTTCACCATGCCATGACAGTACATTATGAGGCAGATAATCTGTGAAAAGATCTAACTCCTCCTCCCTGAGCTGCTATTGCCATCTGAAGAAATGCATCACTCCCAACCAAAAACGAACAATCAGAGCCAGGAGGAGGGTCTTTGTGCTGTCAATTATCCTCATATACTTGCTGGAAAATGTGCTAATGGTGGAGAATTAACTTACTGTTACAGGAAAACTATTTATTCACTGTCATTTGTGGCTATGCTAACTAGCCTTAGCATTGAGAACATGATCTGTAGCAGAGAGCAGAAGAGGGGCACAGGGGACGGGGATTGTGATTGCCGCTGTAAAGACCTGCCTCCTGGCTCTGATTTCTCGAACTGACAGAGTATCTGTGTAATACCATACTGTCACGACATAGTGACAATTTCAGCAAATATGTAAAAAAAATATAGTTTTCATTGAAGTTACAATGAAAACTATATTTTTTTTGGCCTGCTGCTTTAAGGCCAAAAAAAAAAAAACCTAATAAAAATGTGCCTTGTGTTTCGTGAAGATATAACAATGTGCGAAATGTGACCACTTAGGTAAACTGCAAGCATCACCAGCCTAAGGATTAAATATCACAAAGTTTCTGTGTTTTATGTTGCAAAGTTATTTGTTTACATTTCATTTCCTATTGTGTGGGATACAAAACGTGAGCCTTGTGCTTTAAAAATGTATGAAAAAATGTGTTCCTTTTTGCTGCTTGTAGGATTTACCTATGTAAGCTACTGATTTTAGAGCCTAAATGAACAAAGCTCATTATTGCTAACGTAAAAAAAAAAGAAAAGAAAAAGAAGTGGTTTCAGCCCCTCTGCCGATCTGTATGCATGGCACATCCTCCCTCTGTCCTGTGTGTTTAATGTCACGCATGTAGCGTCCTTATAACAGCTGTCCTTCGTGGGTAGTTAAGACCAGCTCCTAGCTTTTGTTAATTGAGTCTAATTGAAGAACATGAAGGGAGAATAAAGGGAGAAGGCTTTTAGGACATAAAAGACTGCAGCCGCCTCTCAGTAGTATTTATTTTCAACCTCTTCCACTCTGATTTAAGTGTGAGCGGACAATGGCGGCCTGACAGTGATACATATGCACGCGTGTGTGATCTCTGTTTGATTTACTGTTTTTACACCCACAAGGACCGGCCTCTTATCAGATCAAAGCCACCGGCAGGCGGACTATGAAAGAACGGCGTGCATGTGTGCATGCGTGTGCCCTGCAGAGGACAGAGGTGTGGAGGAGATGGGGAGTGTTTTTGTTGCTTTTAACCCTGGGCAATGGCACTGCAAAAGGAAAGAACAAGTGGGCATTCTTTGAACTAATGAAGAGTACCTTTAACATTTCTTCACAAAGTTTTCCAACTCTCCATGCACTATGGATTTTTTTCCCCCCTGTTTTTTCTTGTCCAAGTGAATAAAATAAAAGAGGATCAATTGTAGTTTTCCGTATTAAATTCGGATTATTTACAAAAAAAAAGCAAAAAAATGAGAGAAAAAAATCGGAATGATCAGAGTGTAGTTTGCTTGGTTAGGCAAGGAAGGATGTGATATATTTTTTTTTTTATCGTGATAAGAAACAGGAAAAGTTAAAAGAAATAAAATCATTTATTTGTTTCTGTGATTTTTAGGTTCTCTGGGTAGAAAGGCAGCGATGTCATTACAGAGACAAGCGGGTTCCGCTGACGGGACGAGACTATGGTCGGATGAAAGGTAAGTTTTGCCTAGTTGTTTTTTCTTTTAGAAACCAGTGAAATATTTCAAGCCTTTGTCTCTTTTAGCTTTATGCTAACAACTAATCAAAGCCCAAAAGTCAATGTCTGAAAAAGTAAGCAAGACATAGAGGATGTTGAGCGGAAACAAAGTGAGGTAGCAAAATGTGCACCGGCTACAGGGATAAACGCAGCCGTCATAGGATTGTCAAGCAAAATCCAGTAAATATGCTTTTGGAGCTTTACAGTAAGTGAACTGAGCTGGAGTCAGCATCTCAAGGGCCACTATGTACAGATGAACCTGTCTACAAATGTCACATTTCTTGAATCAAGGTACTTCTAAACCAGAGGCAAGTTCACAAGCATCTTTACTGGACTATGGAGACAAACATCTGGATTGTTGCTCAGTGGTTCAGTGTCCTTTTTTGATGAAAGTAAAGTTTGCATTTCATTTGGAAATCAAGGTCCCAGAATCTGGAGGAAGAATGGAGAGAGACAAAATCCATGCTGACTTAAGTCCAGTGTGAAGTTTTTACAGTCGGTGGGAATTTCAGGTGTCATGTTCTTGGTCCACTAGGTTTTCTGGGGTTCACAGTCAACGCAGCAGTCTCCCAGGACATTTTAGAGCACATCAGGCTTCCTTCCACTGACACACTGCTGTATGGAGATGCTGATTTCAATTTCCAGTAGGACTTTGTTCTGGCACACATTGCCAAAGGTACCTAAAGCCGGTTCAGTGACCATGGTGTTTCATCCTGTGTTTGACTGGTCAGCAAACTTACCTGGCCTGTTCAGATAAGTTTGTAAGTTATGGAGAATCATAAAGAGGAAGATGAGCGACATCAGAACCAACAATGTAGACGCTCTGAAGAGACCTGGACTTCCTTTACCCCTCATCTGAACCACAGGCCGATCACCTCCATGCCATGAAACATTGATTTGTTTTTATGATGTTTTATTTGATGTGAGTTGATAATTTCGAGGATGGCACTCATCAAAATTGTTATTGGTTTTCTAAATTTTTGACTGTATGTTTTTTTTTTTTTATAGTTTTTTATTTTTACGATGTAAAGCACTTTGAACTGCCTTGTTGCTGAAATGTGCCATTCAAATAAAGTTGATTGATTGATGTGGTAATTCATGCAAAATGAGCTCCAACAAAGTTCTGAGTGCATAGAGATGAACATACGTTTCAGAAGGCTTAACATTTCTGCTTAACATATCTGTTTTTATAGATTTTTTATAATATAAAAAAATAATAAGACATTGAATATTGGATTGTTTATTATATCTATGCTATAATAATCAAACTTAGTAGAAATAAAAGCATAAAATGCTCTAATGCATTTGAGGAATCTATATAATTTAAGAGTTTCCCTTTCTGAAACGAGTGGCCAAAAATATCAAACCTTTTTTTTTTTTACAGTATTCCAATATTCTTGATTTGAAGTTAGTTCAGATGCATTTGATTCTGAGTAATTCTTACATATTTTATTTTAATTGTGCAGAAAGCACCCAAACTTGATTAACACTGTTCTGTTTTTACCAAGCACAAATAAAGGAGCAAGCCGTTTTCGTCGAGTTTTTATGTTTAGTACCGATCTGCTGATAATGTTTAGCTTCATCATTAAATCTGCGCGGATCGTCAAGTGACAGGGTGTGTGAAGTTGATCATTTTCTGCTGTCTTGGTGTTATGATGATGGAGAGTGTGCACAAGAATAATTAATAACTTACAGTACAGCGTGGAGAATTAGAGTACACACTCAGCCAAGCAAAGATTAAATCTAACAATCAAAAGTCATCCCAGTTTGCATAAAGTGTGCAAAGAGGAAAAGGTGCAAATGAACTGCAAAAGTGAGAGAAAAAAATCACATCGGCATTAATATAGCTTTGTATAATTCAATGTGTGTTAAAAGAGCACAGTGTGTTGATCTCAGGCATGTGACCAAGATAAAGTAAGCTGAGACACAACACTCAATACACTTCATAAGCAGGAGCACTGAGATTGATGCAAGGAAAAAAAGACGGATAATCAAATAATGATCCTGATAGAGCAGATGGATGGTTCATTTCACACGGCTCCCGCTTTAAAGTCCAAATCATTCCGTCACGATTGAGAACGACAAACAATAAAGGCAAGCTCCCGCACAACTTCCGAAAGTTTCACATGCAACAACACTGTAACTACTGAAAGCACTTTTGAACAGGAAGTGCTTCTGACCAATCACATGCAAGGTGCACAAAAAATACAGTTATCCATGAAAAAGAAGTCAAAGTACCACACAGCGACATGAGCAAAGATGATCAAGTGCACCAGTACAGACAGACAGTGGGGAAAATAAATATTTGCTACGCCACAATTTTTTCTTTACATTTGCCAATTTAAAAGTGGTTTCTTATCCATCTCCTCTGCCATGATCATTGATACTCCAAGAGGGGAGATCTTGTACGGATCTCCAGTTTGAGGGAAACTGAAAGTTTCTCCCATTTTCTAACAATTGCACCAACAGTCGTCTCTTGATGTAATGAGCATGTGGACAAAATGAAGCGTCACAGTTCTGAATAACTATGAAACCTGCTGTGAAAAGAAACACTTTCTTACTTCTCCTCAGTTGGTTTGGTTTGACAGTTTGACTCCTGATGCTTGTGTTGTTTCTTCTCTTGAAGTCTCTGACTCTGCAGAAGACTTCCTTGCATTTTAGCTAACTTTATACGCTAACATTTGAACACTGAATGGAGTGATTTAAAGTTAGCCAATACAATAGCTGCAACCCTCATCAGTGTCAGCATGATAGTCACTCAATATGCTATGCTAGTGTTAGCCCTCATGCTAACAATAGATTTACATTGCGTTTGCGCCGTAGTGTTGGCCACACTTTAGTTAGCGCTTCACTTCTAAAAAGAAATATTGCAGATTCACTCGGAAGGACATAAACTATTTGCTCTGATTTCCATAAGTTAATATATCTTTATTCAGTTTAAGAATATTACATTAATATTGTATTATTAATTACAATATTTCTGGGGATGCATGACCCACTAATCAAGGGTCATGCAGCAGCAGACTAATTTGGATTAAAAGATACCTCAATTCCTTAAAGTTCCTGTGTGTGCCGAGCCAGGCAATGACACTGGGCAAATATCCATACTGTAAATGTCTGTATTAAAGGCAGCATCACCCATTTCACTCAGATAATGGAAAGTGCAGTGTCCACGCACTGCAAAAAGACAAAATCTTACCTAGTAGTTTTGGCCTAGTTTCTAGTGCAAATATTTCAGTACACTTGAAGTAAGACAAAGCCAACTTCAGGACAGATTCACAGGCGCACCCCTGAAACGTATTGGATATGAGTGTATTGAACTAGACTGTACATAATTAAATTTAAGTTGACACAGCTGAGTAGAACGGAATTGCAGTTCTTAAATCACTCTACGTCTTCATAGGGAGTCGGATGGATCGTGTGCCGCTGTAAATGGGAGCTGTCCGTGCGCAAGAATAAACCGACTCGTGTCCTTCTGCAGCACTTCTCTCTGTCTGCCTCTTTGTATAAAACTTTCCTCGCCGTGTCGCGCAGCCTCTGCTCTGACAGATGATAGGAGAGCACCAGAGGGAGGCAGAAAGATGAAACAGCCAGGAGATCATGGATGAAGGCTGCAGCTGTGTGTTGACTCTCATAAAGGAAGGAGGGAAAATAAGAAATGCACTTCTACGCTTTGACCAGATTGAATTTTTCACTGCTGAGGTTTCGCGCAAGTATTTTAGGATTTAAGCTGCCGTTGGGAAAACAAGCGTGTCACATTAAATGGGCATTTTCAACACTTTTTCAGACATAATTATTGAATCCCCAACTGTATGAAGTGACAGCATATTTTCTAGATATGATTATTAAATAATTTAGGAATTTGTATTTTTCTAGAAATGGAAATCTTGATGATGTTTATCTGTATTATCAGGCTCTTTTCATTGTTTTTACTGTTGCATTTAAAATCATCTAATTAGTTAACTTCAGCTGCTCTGTAATGGTTCACAACTTCTGGAAATACATTGGGTCTAATAGCAGGTATTAATGTTGATGAAAAATTATATATTTCTTTACATATTGACATTAAAATAAGTCTGAAATTGGGTTATGGCTCATTGGACAGTCCACAGTGGCTCTTAATAACTTTAGCTAACAATTAAAAGAAACCAGTCAATATTTTTTAAATACAGATATAACAACAAATGCAGGTTTTAAATTGTTTTTCATTTTTTTCTACAATAATTGCATTTTGAATTTCCACTAAAATAACACTAAAATTGCCAGTAAAATGTTTTTAAATATTTTTCCCTTGTCATTTGGTTGGCTTTTTATAACAAAAATATCTCTTATCTCTTTTATGCTTATTTTCATTTAAAATCCTAAAAATGGAAATAAAATTCTGTCACTTAAGAAAAATGACAATAAATCTTCTAAAGTTTGAAAAGTTGTCTATTTTCAAAAGGTTGTGTGACATTTGCAGCTCTAAACAAGTTTTTATGGGCTGTGCTGAGAGCAAAATGGCTCTTTAGGTCGCAGACTCCTGTGTTATAGTTTGACCCAGGACACTAGGTTAGGTTTTCAAACCAAAAAAATATCTTAAAGCAACTTTATTTGCCTTAACAAGCCAAATAAAAAAAAACAAAACATCAGTTTGCCTTTGGCAGAGAAAATGAACCGGTTCCTAAATGAGCTTCCTAAAACAAGCTCAGACTGACATCAGCTGAAGCTTCTTTAATTTCAGTGAAGCGGTATACAGCAAACCATCAGAACGACATCAATGCATCACTACCACATAATGGTGGGAGCAAAACAAGAATATCTCCATTAAATGAAGAGATAAAACATTTTCTACAACCAAGACAAAGGGAACATATTTTAATTGAATCCCAAAAAGTAAACATTACATTTAGTCAAAAACCATAATCAAGCAGATATTCATCAAATATGTTGATTGATGTTCAAGTTGCTATGGAACAAAGGCAACTCTAACCAGGTGGGTTTTTAGCCTCGATGTAAAGCTACTCAAGTTTGTTCCATTTGTGGATCATAGAAGCTGAATGCTGCATCTCCACGTTTGGTTCTGGTTTCTGGTGATGCAGAACAGAACCAGAACCAAATACAACCTTTATTGTATTAATTATGACAGGGATTGTTTTTTCTTTTCAAGCTAAAAATAACTTTGCACACTTGAAATACAAAGTTACTTTTCAGCACAAAAACAAGCTCCTGTATTTTACTTAAAAATGACTTGTAAGTTAGTTTTGACTTATGTAAGGTGTACTAAGATATGTGCACTAGAAACTAAGCAGAAATACTTGGTCAAATTTTGTGTTTTTCTGAGCCATGCCGCAGTGATGAGATGCTAATTAGATGCTAATGATATGCTAATCTCCCCACAGTATTCCACCTCTGTGGTGAGAAGAGAATCTGTGTAGCTTTTTTCTATTGGTTGGAAATCCAGGGATGTCCGGAAGTTAAAGTTCAAGATACTGGAAAAGGGGAAACTCCACACAAACACGCACACACACACACGGGTATCACATAGATCTTTGTGTTTGCAGGTTCCCAGAGGAAATGGCCTCCAGCTGACAGCCCGTCTGAGGAGAGGATGGACGACCAGTCGCTCACCTTCAACGACCCGCTCTGGCCCATGCAGTGGGAACTGGTGGGTGTCATTATCTGCTTGGGTGTGTGTTTGTGTGTGTCGTCATTTCCCTTATCTGGAAGTCTCTCCCCCCATCTCTCCTCTCTTCTCGTCTTCGCGTTGAAGGATGTTCTTCTGACAGGCATAAGTCAGACAGGCTTTCACGTGTGACTGGAGAAGGAGACAGAAGACAGAGAGATAAGGGGATGGCGGGGAAGGCGGGCGAAGGGGTGAGTGGGTTGTCCATGTTGAACTGAGACAGATGTCTGGGATTGATGAGGCTTGGAGGAACACCGGCGCACAACTGGGCTGAGACAACAAGACATGCTTATGCCTTCAGCTGTCCTGTTCACGCTGTTTTGGCCAAACTGTGTTTCTGAGGCCCAGCAGGAAAACAGCAACAGAACAGAGAATTATGTTTGAAGTCTGTTTGTAAAGCGTCACAAAAACAATTATATCATGAGGGAGCTTTTGCTCCTGGAATAAGATTATTGTCCAATGTCGGTTAAACTTGGACCAGTTCTTATTTGGAATCCGACTAACATCATTTTGATGTACCTTTCCTGCTAAAGCAATAACCACAGCGAAAGCTTTTCATGTTTTCATGCATGTGTGTATTTACCCCCTTCAATGTTTCACCCTTTATTTTATTATTGCTTTAACAAATCAATCACTATCTGCAGAAATAAGCAAAAAACAACTTAAATGTCAAATTGAAAACTCATTTCCACAAAACAATGACAATTAAATAAAAACATGCAAAAATACAGTTAAAAAGGCTATTTAATTTTAATTCTTGTGTTCCTTAGTTGAACAGAAATATCATTTAGATTTTCTTATACAGTTTCATTGTTAAACCGTAATCAGTTGATTTATTTTAGAGTTGATTGATAATATGGTCACTTCAATCTGAAACTCTAAAATACAACATAAACATCTGAATGGTTGAAACAGAAGATGTTTTTTACATCACACTGAAAAAATGACAAAATAGTCAAATATGCAGGGACTTCTTATTAGTATACCAGTAATATACTTTGCATTATTTTAAACGACACTACCACTCAATAAACTGTATTCATTTGTGGTAAACTACATATTTCAAAGTAGATGTTGACACACTGAGTGAAACCTCTATGACCTCTTAATTGAATCTTAATTCATGTTTGGAAAGAAAATATATGTTTTGGTAAAGTAGAACTGAATAGGTCAAGTTTTCTTGTATCTCACATTTCAGCAGGAAGGCAGTTCAAAGTGCTTCACATAAATTATAAAACGAGCAATAAACATCACATTTTGTCAAATGCCATCGTGAAAACGATCAATCCAAATCAAAAGCAACTCTAAGCTGACGGGCTTTTAGCTTTGATTTAAAGAAAGTCAGTGTTTCCGCTGTTTTGCAGTTTTCTGGACGTTTGTTTGAGATTTGTAGTTCATAGAAGCTGAACGCTGCTCCTCCATGTTTGGCTTAAAACATAATTAACACACACAAAAAAAGTAACTTGTTGTTTGTCAGTCCATTTAAAAAAATAATAACTATTACTTTTGTGCACTAAATACTTCCTGCTGGGTCTGTTGTGCAACGACAGCCTCTGTTTCTGCTCATATCGATGGAATTTGGTGATAAATTATATCACTGATTACTCTATCAATAATAAATCCCTGGCATGTTCTTGCTATAAATACCCTGGGCAAAGCGTTCTCTCAGCCAATCGACTCCTGCAGACGGTCTTGAGTGACGTGCGAGGGCGTAATCTGGCAGAGCGAGGGGGAGGAGAGGCGGGCTCACGGATTCACCCAGGCAACCAGCAGCAGATTGACTGACATCTCAGCTCTCGGGGCAAGTTGGAGGGGTGAGAGTCAGGGATGGGGGCGGAGGGTGGCGGAGACAGTATCGAGACGAGATGATGAAGAGAAATGTGAGGCGGAGAGCTCGGAGCTCCAATATGAGCGCGATTCGCAGCAACCGCTCGGCTCTGAATTTAGAAATTTTATCGACAGGATTCTTGTTTTTTTTTTCAAAGCCCACCATGATGCATGCGGTGTTACGTGAAGTGTGACACATAAGTGATTATGTGGTTTTTAACTTATATGGCTTGATTACATAAACAGGAATATAGGGGACAATTATCAATCACTGAGTAATCAGGAAAAATGAAAAGCCTTTCTAAAACTTGGAACCTTTCGCTCTCTCTATCGGCTTCTCGTCTCCCTCTCTTGATTTCACTCTGTTGTGTTTAATCAGCCTCTGGTGGATGGAGATATTGATTGAGGGTCAGTAATCTGCTCAGGTCGAGACGTGTGTGTGCGTGTGTGTGTGGGTGTGTGTGTGTCTGTTGACCGTGGAGTAATATTTTCATTACCTACTCTCGGCGAGTTTGGCCTAACACACCTTGATGACAAGTTCAGCTCCTGTAACGGAGGTTCTTGCTGAGCTCCCTGCAGCAAATCAATCAGTGGATGATATGCGTTGTTGTTTGACAATCTGTTTGTGTTCATATGTTTTTCTTGAAGTCCAACCGAGATGAAGACGGAGAAATTGTTTGCTTTTTTTCTCCTGCGTGTCATAGTCTTCCATGAAAATTTGTCATCTTTTTGCCAATTTTTCAGTGGAACGTAACCCCAAGAACAATAAAATAGCCTATTTGCGGATTTTTTCAGAGAGTATACCTAAAATATTTAATAGAAATAGCATCTTGGGTAACCAGGTGTTGGCCCTTGCACAGCCGCCAGCTCAGGAGCTCTGTTCATTTCTCCCATAAGAACAGAGATAAGGAAGACTGGAGATGTTAGCTTCTGCTGTAACGCCAAGACTGTTTCCACTGTTTGTACTAATCAATATTATTATTTGGTGTTTGAACACCAAATAACTCTGGACTGACAATTACAATAGTCAGTCCAGAGGGTTGCTCAAAGGAAGTCTCAAGACTTCGTGGACTTTCTTGTGATTCCTAATCTCCAATGTTGTATTATTCACTTCGTCAACGGCAGCATTCAAATACTTCAAATCGATAAATTTGTAAAGTGGTTGTTTTGTTTTTTGTTTTTTTGAAAAATAACATCCGACATAGCGATGTTTATCTGGTTTTTACCTCCATCTGCAAAACTGCGCTTTGCATAGACGGGTATATTGACACATATTTTACATATTCTTTTATCTTTTGCTTTTTTGTGAAATGTTAAAAGTTTAAAAAATTCACCTGACATTTGGAATGGAAACATAGCAACTTAAGACAAATGCATGCTCCCAACTATACAGGAACAGTTTTGGAATGGCTGAACATCAACCAGAAGGACACGGCAGCATCTTTCACACAAATTAGAGCAGATTAGCCAGGTTAGGTTGTTCAACATGACCCTGCAAAAACACCAAATCTCACTAACTATTTTTGGTCTATGTAGGTCTAGTTAGAAGCGCAAGTATCTTGGTAAACTTGAAATAAGACAAAATTACTGTGAGAAACTTTTCAGCAAGAAACTGGAGCTTGTCTAATTCCGTAATATTGATGAAAACATTTTTGTGCCGCCGGTAAATTATTTCACTCGTAAAATATGAAAAATGTCTCATAATTGAAATAATCTGCCAGTGGAACAAATACTTTTTTAAAATCAATATTAAGGAATTATTGACTAAACAATCTCCTATTTCTTTCTAAAAATTAACTTGTAAGTTAGTCTCGTCTTTCTTCAAGTGAACTAAGATGTTTACACAAGAAAGTAGACCAAATTTACTTGGTAAGGTTTTGTTTTCTCTTACAAAAATCTGATAAACACTCAAACTGAGCAAGGTGTGAACTAGCAGATGTCATCATTGAAGTACATTTATTTCTATAGGCAAACCCGTGTCTCTATAAATGCAGAGATGCTAAAGAGAGTACTGAAGTGGTAAATTGTCGTTCTTTAAAGTGTTATTGTGACTTTGTGTTGTGCGTGAGGAGCTTTTTGCCACTATCACAACATCACTTCATATAACCGCATGTGTATGAAGTGAATCAGCATTCAAGATGCCTCTCCACAGGCCTATATGTAATTTTACAAAGGTGTGTGCCTTTCATGTGTGCTTAAAGTGTGTGTGTGCGTGTGCATTCGAGTGTGTCCTCCCCTCGAGCCAGCCCCAGTGTTCCGGTGGACGTTAGTCTGCTAGCAGCCTCCATTCATCTGCCTTATTCGCTCACACTACAAAGCATTGCAGCTCCCCAGATGCTACCCGCCAAACACACAAACAAACACGCGCAAACACACACAGACGCACGCACATGGAAAAGCACGCAATCCCCCAACAGAGACATTTTTCCCATTGTGCCTTTTCTTCCTTTCTTTCTCTCTTAATCATAGCAACAGTTAAAGGACTCACTTTGAATATCAAATTGGCCGTGTGTGTCTGCGTGCGCCTTTTTCTGTGTGGGAGAGCGAGTTTTGGGAATCCGTTGACATTTCTAGTTAGTCTGCGTTTGTGTGTGTGTGTGTATGTGTGTGCGTCCTTTACACGCTGCCTTTAAGTGTTGGGTGTTTTTTTTGTGTGTGTCTGTGTGTGCCTGTTAGCGTACTGCGTGTTTGCGTCGGGATGCAACATTAAAGCTGTATTAAGTGATCAAGTGAATGTATGTAGTTTGTGGGGATAGTGAGGCTCTGGGGAGCTGCTGTGATGGGTATTTTGCCTCACCACAGAGGTGTTGCTTCTCTGCTGTAATGTGTGGTTATCTCTGTGTTTCCGTGTAGGTGGATTTGTGGTTTGAGGTGAAGAGGTCTGGGCGACTTGTCCGTGAACTTCCCGGGTTCCTTATGGCGCTTTGAAACCATGTGCAGTTAAAGATGCATACACCATCCCTTATATATATATAAATGTATTTATATTCTTTCAATATATGTTTCTACTGAGCTGGATCAAAACCACCTACTGAATACTGTGAGGTGGCCCTCAAACAACCTGACAGGGCATTGACTCTGGGATTGTGTAGGTGTCATGTGACGTTTGAAAGGAAAAAAGTCGGCGGCAGATTTTTGAAGTCGTCCAATGAGGTGGGATGCATTGTCCGATGTTTGCTTGAGGCACTTCTAGGCTGCTGTTCCGTTAAAAATGTGCGAAAATCTTTAGTTGCGTTTCCATTAACTATATAGCTTGACATGTCGTACATAAAATCTCTTAATGGAAACATGCGTTTAAAAAAAAAGCTAAGCAAAACAAAACTTAAATGAGCGCAAAACTTTGCATTCTGCTAATGTAAATAAAAAAACAAAATCAAAACAATTAAAAGATTATGGCAGTTAACAGTATGAGATATGATTATAATTCAGTCATGGCACCCAAAGCTTATCTATCAGCCATCTGAGGAGACGTCAGCGTCTTATTCAGGTGTTGGAGCAACAAGCTCCTTATATCTGGGAGTAGCGACATTTTGGGAAAATTGTAGTCTGTGATTTTACAGAAGAGCTATGTGTTCAACATGTTGGAATAACATTCTCCTTCTTCCACTTCCTGCCGTCTTCTTTGTGGTTTTTATCAGTAGTAACATCAGTGGTAACCACTTCACCACGGCTTTTAATCGAAAAACGTGTTTGTTTATTTTGTTTTTTTCAAAATTGTCGTGTTTCCATTAAGCAAATTTATCGTAATTTCAATTTGTACAATTCTCTGGTTAATGGAAACCCAGCTGGTGTCACATTGATTCCAAAAACGGACATATCTCACTTCATCATTGCACTGAATTATTTTGCCCAAATGTAAGATCTGTGTCCAATTTCAAATTGCTGTTTTTTTTTTTTGTTTTTTTTTGGAAAGCTACAGTGATTCCGTGGATTTTGAGTTTGAGTTTTGAGTAAGAATACAATCAGAGTTGCTGTTTGTTTCTGCATGTGTCCTGCTATGAAAGTATTGGGCGTCCTTGTGTACGTAACGCATGCTGTAGAAAACCGTCTCTGATCTGAGTCAGGGTTCTCTGTCCTTGATGCTTTCTTGTGTTCTTTTCGCAGCTCTGTCTTAATTAATCGCTTTCCTTCCGTTCCTCGTAGTCTCCTTCACCACACAGCGTCAGTACATTTGGTTAATTGGATTTACCTGGTTTCCATGCCACTAATCACCTTCCCAGGATATAAGCCTCCAATTTTCAGTTATTCTGTCCATTAGCAAGTCTGTTCTCCCTTAGCAACCTTGTTCCTAATATGTGTCCCCTGCTGTTTGCCCCCAGTTGGTTTTCCCTTAAGGTTTCCTCCTGTACATGTAACTATTTCCTTTTCTTCAATAAGTGACCTCAACATGAGACTCGTGTCCAATTTCTGAATTCAAACGCTTTGATTTTTAGCAGATTCTGATTTCTCTTCAAAAAACATAGTTGCCAGTTTTGTTGACATCCTGCCTTTTTTTCATTAAGAGCAGAGGCAACTTTCTAACGTGTTAGTGATTTAGTGGCTGTAAAACAAGTTTTTACGGTTTGTAAAACACATGCAAAAACGATTCAGAGTTGACATTTTAGACTGTCTTTAGTTTTTCAGGTTTTAATTTTAAGAGAGACAAAACTTTCCCGTAATAAGTTTAACCTTCTTGTTTCACCTGAGCTTGACTGCAGGTCAGTTTTCTTGTTTGCAAATTCAATAAAACTGCTCCAACACTGCAGCACATCGACATCTTATAGTTTCTTTTCTGAAGACAAAAGTCAAAAAATGACCTTTAAACAAAAAAAAACCCCAAAAAATTTGATACAAAGTGACTAAAAGTACAAAGTGACAAATGAGCAAAGGATATGCCAGAATCTATCTTCCTGTGTTTGTGACCCTCATGAACAAGTAACATCTGTCTGTAGAAAATGTAGTTCACTTTTAAACATCTTCTAACAGTTTGTGCTTCATTTTGAACACAAACTGGAAACTTTTGTCATTGTAGACCCTATACTCATTGTGCTTGTTTTTTTTTTTTTTTGTCCAAGTGGGCTTCAGGGTGAAAAATTTGGCCCTCATATATCCATGTTAATAAAAATTCCTCTTTTGTGAAAAGGCTAATGTGTTAACACGAAATTCTAACTTGACCTTTTACCCCAAATGCTTATTACACATCAGAAATAAAAACAATGGTGGATTTGTGCTTGTGCTGCAGCTGCAGAGCTTTCATCAAAGTTCTCCAACGCAAAGTTTTACAAAAGACTCCAGCTTCGCTTTGTTGTTTGCCTTTCCTGTTGTGTTTACCGCTAACCTTGTGTAGAAGCTCCACACATACTCCTAGTCTGGTGCCACTTACAGGTCTGGGGGTGTAAAAACAGCTTTTTTTCTTTGTGTTTATGTTACATTTGTGTTTTATGTTACATTTCTGTCCTTTTGATGCTGACTGAACATTCCCATGTGGAAGGGATCGGAGTCTTCTTTCTGCAGTAATTGCTTCCACACTGAAGAGTGTTGTCATTGACATAACATGGTAATGCTTTGTTATGGTGCCGTCACTTTTCAAAATAATGCAATTTTTATTATTATTATTTTTTGGTTCTGACCAGGTAGGCGGCTGAAAATTGGTCATCAGTAATAATTTTGATATCTTGAAACAAAAGCCCCAAAAATATTGTTTAAAAAGTAGTTTTACTTTATTTCCTCCATCTTTCAACTTGAGTGTAATTGCCAAGCTGCACCTCATGTATGATTAAAGAACATCTTGTCGGCATTGGGTATTTAAGACTAATGCAGATAAATGGTGAACTAATAAACCGGTCAGACGCCTCTTAACAACGTTGATCCATAACCACATGTTTTGTGTGTGTGTTCAGTTTGCACAGGGTAAATACAACTCCAGTGGCTTTGACCTGAATGTGATGCCAGTTTGGAGGAACAACATAACCGGCAGCAGAGTGGTGGTCAGCATCATCGATGACGGTGAGTTTAACGTCGCTGTAGCACACGTGCTAATAGGAAACTTACAGACCTCGAGCTAGTGTCTGCGTTTCCATTAAAAGGAATTAGAAGAAGATACTTACTAATACTTATCTGACAACCCTGAATAGGATTATTTAGTTTATATATTTTGGATCAACGTTATTAGATTATTTTTTTCTTTCTTCTTTTGCTCTTTCCTTTGGTTTATTATTTTGTTTGTATTTCCTTTTAATTCATGTAAAGCACTTTGAGTTGCCTTGCTGCTGAAAATGTGCTATATAAATAAAATTACCTTAACTTAACTTAACCTTACCTTCACGGAAACACAGCAATATTTAAAAAAAACTCAGGCTTTTGTGTTAGGATGTGAAGGTTTTTTGGCCGTCTACTGCCGGAAATGACAAAAAAGACGACAGGAAGCTTATTCAGCAGGGATTTTAATTTAATTTCTTATTTTATAGAAACAGTCATTTTTTTCGACATTAGATGACACAGCCGAAGTCTTGCGCACATTCATGAGGGAAACTACTGTGGAGGTTCCCGAAGCTTTTGGTCCGTTTTGGAACGTTTGAAAAGATGAAATGTTAATATTTATACAAGTGGAGACTGCACAACGCAATAATAATGAAAAAAAATCAGGTTTTCTGTCACCTTTGACCCAGAGTGAAGAGTGCGAATGATTTATCTAAGCTCCCTGAGCTGAGCCCACCGCCTTACCTCCATCATCTTCGTTTCAGTCACGCCACAGTGACAATTCATTTCTCTCTGATTGCTGGGATATCTGGCAACAAGGGAAATGAGAGAGCGGCATCTTATGGGCTCATTCATCAAGAACTAATTGAACCCTCACTTGTCTCGAGTGCTGATAGAGCGGAGTAGTTGTTGGAGTGTGAAGGTGTGTTTGAGCCACTGTCTTTTTAATTTTTTTTTTTTTTTGCAGTCAAGAACCTCCGATTCTGTTTTTTGGGGTGCACAAATCACAGAATTACTGGAATCAAATATACTTTCTCCACTCGTTTACGTGTATTTGTGTTTTTCCCACGATTTCATGCCTGTGTACGGCTAACGACTATTTTAGAAGTGATTTGATTCTATCAAATCAGGCGATTAATCGAGTACTCGAATAAAAAAACAAAATGGCATGTTCTGCAAATTTCAGCTTATTTTATACAATATATAAAACATGCACATATTTTTGATTCCTTTTTCTAAATAGAAAATAAAACATTTTATTGCCTAAAATTCAAAATTAAGCTTACGCACAATCATTTGTTGCAAAGGATGGATCTGCAGCTAAAAACAATACAAAGATAAATACTTAAAAAAGCCATTTATTCTTCATTTAACATCAGTAGTGTTGGGCTGATCTTTTCACTGTTTATTCAATTAACCAATTAATGACTGAATAGCTAAAGGTGCTTGAATGATTTTTTCTTTTTGTACAGAATTTGAACTGCTTGATGCTAAAACTATGCATCTGGATGAAACGCATTTACAGACAAAGATGTATTCACTTTGTGTACAGTTTTTGTTTAATTACTGCTCTGACTGTGTTGTTCTTACAGCAAACAGCCTTTTTAAGAGTCTATGTACTCCAGTTAATGATTAATAGATTACCAAATTAGTTGACGATTATTTCCATAATTTAGTTTAAGCGATGAAATGATTAATCGTTTAAACTGTATATGTGTGTGCTTCTGTGAAAGGCTTATGTGCTGAGTTGTAATGTGGGGGAAACAGTGCTTTTCTTTGCCTCTCATCCCTCTGCACACTGACTGTACCATTGTGTGTGTGCGTGTGTGTGTGTGTGTGTGTTTGTGGTGCACGGTTAAAGGTAAATGGTGGATACAGAATGAGCAAGGCAGAGACAGACTGAGAGAGAGAAATTATATAGAGGAAAGATCCGGAGAGAAATGTCAGGAGATGGTGAGAGCGGAGAGGATTGCGAGCGGCTGTACGGGTTAATGTATGTGCGGCAGAGAGAGAATTAGACCTGCACCAGTGAATCTCCCCTCCTCTGAGGCTATTGTACTTCGCCCCACCTCTCCATATTGATTCCGCCCGGGCAGGAGCTCCCTCGCTCTTTCTCTTCTGCCCCTCCGTCTTCCTTTTCTTCTGTTTCCCTTCGTCAGTTTTTTTCTCCCCCCGCCCGCTCTTTGTTAACCGGACGGAGACGTCTTCCTCTTTTCTCGCGCTCCGTCTTTCCGTTTCGCCTGGTCTCACCTCCATTCCTCCCCATCGCCCTCCCATCTTCCAGAGAGCCCTTCCTCTCTTCGGCCAGAGGATCATTGCGTTCCCCTCTCACCTTTAGCCAACCTTTCAATCGATGCCCATTGATTTTGATATCACAATGAAATAAATTATTTCTCTTTGAGTGAAAGTGTCCATGACTCAACCTCGGCGCGGTGTCTTTCTCCATCTCTGTCCTTCAGCTCTCTCCCTTTGTTTTAGAGGTAATGTAATTGGTATCTGAGGCTGATCCTCTTAAAACATTGAATCACATTCAGTATGCCACTTTCAATTTATGCACCCATGTCTGGGTTTATCTGAGTTTCTTTTTACAAATGTGCTCTCTCAAAGGCACCCTCTAGATACACCTGCATCAGTTTCTGTTTCATTGCTGTGTCATTACATTTGCATATCTCTGATGAATACCACCTTTAGCACCTTACAAACACAACTTAAAATCTTCTAAATGTCATGTTGCAAACATAAGCTTCAGATTATTTCATATGGATTTCATATGTGTCCATGATTCAGTATGTGGTTTTTAATTCTTTTTAACAAATAAAAGCTCAAGAAGTGTAGCAAGCTTTACACTGACCCCCCAAATAAGAGCCAGTGCAGCTGATTTAATCACTTTATCCTAATTATCAGAGTTCAGCTAAATGACATTCATCTTCAGTATAAATCCAGTTGCCCTGTGAAAAGTGACTTTAGATTTTACTGCTGAACATTTGGGTTTAATGGCAATAAACACTTTGTTTCACAGTGAGAGTTGGGAACGTACACACAGGAAAAAAAGGCCAAGAAACTAAAATGTGACAACTTAAAAATAACATTTACAACCTGAAATATCAGCTACAATCTAAAAACAACTTTAGCGTTAGCATACGACGCAGTAAATACACAGTCATAGTGAAACAATGTCTGAAATGATATGTTCTTACTTACATTATAGCATAGCTTGTGCCTCTATCATGCCGTATGCTAATATCGATATCAGCTCCGTTACAATGTTGTCCCTTCAAAATCAAAGCATAAAAACTAAAATTGGAAGTTATTCATAGATGAATCTAAGTAAAGGCAATGAGAGCCAAAAGAAAAAACTAAGAAAGACTAAACTAAAACTAAACAATATTTAACTACTAACAGCTAATAAAAACTAGAAAACACAATCTTAAAAAGCTATTAAAACTTACTGAATTAGATAAAAAGTCACAATGAAATCAAACTAAACTGTAATGAAAAACTGTTATGACACCAGTTCTATAAAGCTTTCGATTCAAATTCAATTCAATTCAAATTCAATTCAAACATACTTTAGTGATCCCAAAAGGAAATAAAATAATAAATAACATGCAGAAATCTGAGAGGCACTGCTCTTTTACTCGGGTTTGTTTTCTCCTGCTGCTGTAGCTCATAATTCTGACATGACTGTCATAAAGTTGAAAGAAGGATAAGAAATAAAAAGCATTCAATAAACATGATGTTTACATGCCTGATAAATATCACCTACCTTGTTTGTGAGGACAGCTCCTTAAAAATACTTATTAAAATCCATGTATAGTTTGATAAATGAGGCTTCTGGACACATTTACAGCTGAAATAAAAGACAGCTGTCACGTCAGCACAAGCTGTGTTCATTAGAAGTTCGTGACCTCTGGGTTGGGTTATGGATTCATCTGAAAAATGTGTGCCGTACAGAGCCATGCGTCGCCCAGCAATCGGGAATTATTGATCGATCAGCGCTGATATTGCTACGATATCAGTCCAGAGAATGACTGGACGGGACTGATTGGTGGATTCAGAGAGTTGGATTCCACACAAGGACTCCGTTATCAAACTTGATCATGTGAAACATCCAGGGTGTAGGGTGGGATGACAGCTAGTAGGTAATCCAGAATAAGATGGATTACCTACTAGAACTCCTCTGTCTCTCCATCATTACTTAATGTGCAAATGAGATACCTACGGTTGCTGTAAAGCATCTCAAACGCCCACTCCGGCTCCAGCGTTTGCTTTGTAGTTTTTGCCATTTTGCCAGAATTACACTGATGCCATCGAGTTAAAGACGGGATTTTACAGCCGGAGCTCCACTGAGGGAATAACGCAAACCCCAATATGAAGACAAACTCGCATATATGTTCATAATTTAGAATGTGTGCATCAGCTGAGGAAGGAGCTGCGATAAAATATTTTATGGCTGATTATGAAGACTAATCAGAGGCTGTGATGTGATTAGCTCACAATACAGGAAGTATTTACTGCAAACCCCTGAAATACCCCCCCCCCCCCCCCCCCCACAAAAAAAGCAAAACAGCATCTCTGTCACTTTGGTTTAGATAATGTTCTTGCTTTATATTCAACACACAAACAGCGTGAATCTATTTCAGTTGCTTATATAGCATAGCTATTGTCATTGCGCATGATTACATTTGTGAACAGAATCTTTGAGGACCTTATAAAATTGAAAGCATTTAAAGTAAGATCAAACATACCGAAGCTGAAATCAGCATACTGTTGAGTTTAAGCAAAGGAGATCCCAGACTGACTTTTCTGTTTCTGATTTATTTGCATTGAGGACTGGATTTCTTCTCTACTGTTCCAGGAGGGAAAAGCTGAAAATCAGTCGGTGAAAACAGATTTCATTCAACCCAATGAAGTGTTGGCGAAATGATCTGTTCCTGCCTCAATTCGATTATCATCAACATTTAATCTCATCAACTCAGATTGTTTTGGTCACCGTTCTTAGAACTCTACTAGGGCTGAAACGAGTT